AAAATAGAACTTTTTTATTTTAAAAACAAACAAGCGAGCCCTGTCCAGATTTAAAAATAGCGCAAAAGTAACGTAACGCATTACTTTCCATAAAAAGTAACTAAGTACCGTGATTAGTTACTTTTTATGGAGTAACGCGATATTGTAATGCATTACTTTTAAAAGTAACTTTCCCCAACACTGGTTGTGATAATAGACAAAGTAACTGTCAATATTGTGTCTAAAATGTAAGTTACGCAGTAACAACTTCTTGATTATTTATCAGCAGTGTAAAATCAGTATCACATTGTATTATTGTACTGTTGCTCCTAATATTCACACTACTGTCATGCTAAAATTCAGTACAATCAACTCTTACCTGATATGATATTGCTTACACACACACTTAATAAAAAAAATAAAAAAAACATTACTCGACGATGTAACGATGACCTATCTAAAAATATCAGTAACAGTAAAGACGACACTGTGTCTGCAGTGTTACAATCACAGCATGTAACAGAATGTAACAGAAATCACAGATGCAGCATCCTATGAGCAAATCCCATCGCACAGACTAGTTTTATTACTATACTTATGTTTATATGTAAAGAATGAGGGCATGTATTGCAATGCAATGGATGGTGAGCACGCTTCCATTTGTACAAAACTACAATAACCAACCCAAATAATGCACTTACCCAGATAACAGCCTAAAGTACTGTCTTGATGTTTTCCATGGTACACAAGCCAACCACAAAGATATCCGTGACGGTGTAAAGAAGTAACGACGAGTAAATAGCGTTTTCAGCACGATATTACTCCGACTCCGAGCGGCTGGCTGATGACGGCGCAGCGGCAGCACAATCAATCTCAATGGCGCTGCGTTTTGATTGACAGCTCCGTTAGCCAATAGAGTGCGCTGGATCGCGAGCTCGTGCATTTCATTGGCTGAGACGCTTGTCAATCAGCCCCCACCCGGGGGTTTGTAAACAGGGCAGGCGAAGGACTGAACACGCCGGGGCGACTGACACATGTGTCGGTTTAGTGACTCCTCAGTGGAGGCTTTCATGGCAGTCGGAGAGCGTTCAAAAAAGTTACAGGGAATTGCGGTTCGAAAACGCTCCGTCCATTAAGAAATACGAGTTCAGCCCTTTGCCACACAATCCTAGTATATCTGTGCTTATGCATTAATGACTAAACTGAAATCTTGGTTTAAAATTGGATCGTTATAACTCTCTTATTTTTTCTTTCTTTCTTTTTTTTTTGTTACTGTGCAGGTCAATAGAGGCCACTGTGGCGGGGACTTCTAGAACAGAGCAGTTTCCTTAGTAAAGTAACTTTTTAATGAAACATGCATGCCGAATATTTGTATTATGTTGTAAGTTTTATCAAATAAAAAAAACAGTAAAGCAGTCAAGACTGTGCTTCACTGTGATCGCTCCACTGTTTCTAATTCCCTTCAGTCTATATTCACAATAAAGCTTCTTTTTAACGATAATAATTATACTAATTCCCCAAAACAGCTGCTGTGTGCTGTAAGTTAAAGTAACAGACAGATTTAGATGTGTTTATGTTTAATGGATATTGCACACGCGGTCTGTCATTACAGGTTCAAGCGCATTATAACAGTGATGCTTGGCTCAATGCTTCCATCTGTCGACCAGTCATCATATGTTACTCACAATGAATTAGGTTTTCCTAAAAGGCCATCTGGTGGTCACACTGTTCAGGTGAACCTTCGCAGTCCATTTATAGGTCAGCTCACCATGTCAAGAAAAGTTCAAGCTTGATGGATTCTGTGCAGTGATCCGAAATATAATAAATGGCTGTGATCGTTACAGAAATGACCGAAACAGAAATGCTATCTATCGGGGTGTACAACTATGCTTAGGTTAAGGTTAGAAGTTAGTATTTCATCATTATGTAGGCAATCGACATACGTCTGCAAGATGTCTGTTAAAGATCACTTGATCTGGAAAGCATCTGCGGTGTACAAACATCTAACAGACGTCTGTAAGAAGTCAATTTTACATACATTCTAAATCATAAACATCTTAAAGACATCTAATAGACATCTATTTGACATCTGATAGAAAACGTCTTATAGACGTATTGCAGATGAGCAAACACTGTAAAAAATACGTCTTCCAGATGTAAATGCAGATGTCAAATAGACGTCTCCGAGATGTATGTGTGCTGATCAGCACTGTAATTGACAGGAATCATGATGACCAATGACCAGTTGTAAATCTGCATCTAATATGAGATGGGATGCTGGTGGATACCAAAGCAACGATTGTTGTGGACATACTGAAATACTTTTTAACAGAGAGTAGGCTAATGCTGTTCTAACACACACACACATAGAGAGAGAGAGAGCTAACATATTGTGATTGTAGTCACACAAAGCTATTATATGTCACAAGTTAAGGGGAACATTATCAGTAAATATCAAATAAACCTGACAGGTGTAGTCACTATGAACTGTCACATTGTGTGGAGTCTGTTCCTATCTACTTTTTTTTCTTTTTCATTTTTCTTCATTAAGCACTTATGTTATTTAGTTACCCTATGATAAAAACTCATAGGTTAAAATCATAAAAGCTCAAGTCACTGAGGTCTTCCACATCCCAACATTTGCTGCTAGTGCCCTCTACTGACCAATGCTAATCACTAAACAACAAGAACAAAAAGCAATTGTATTTTTTCTGCACTTAAAATATTTGTGAATACTTAATTAAATACGTAATTGCCACATTATCTCACAATACAGACTTTTGTTCTTGCAATTCTAAATTTATAATTTATACCTCACAGTTTGGACTTTGTTTCTGGCATTTTTGAAATAAACAGAACTGCGAGATATAAACTTCGAAATCGGACTTTTTTCATGCAATTCTGAGTTTAAATCTCACAATTTTTGTTATTGTTGTTTGTTTTGTTTTCCACAAAATAAAAAAAGTGACTGCATCTTTTTGTCTCACAATATTGACTTTTTTTTCTTTGCAATTGACAATTAACATCTTGCATTTCTGACTTCTGAAAAAAAAGGATTAAAGATTAAGTTTAAACGATCATTTATTTTATTTTATTTTTATTCTGTGGTGAAAATGGGCTTCCATTAAAAAAATAAATACTTAGCTCATTAACTTGCTCATATGATCTTTGGTCTGAGCTGCACAGAAATGACTGAACAGAATTTTTTATCTACTAGTGAAAAAAAGTTATGATGTTGTGAACTTAACAAGGTCGACCCAAATT